TAAAAGTGTATAGTAGACGCATGGTATCTGTAATCACGCATAAGACCCGTGTGTCCTTAATTGAGTCGAGCATGGATCTCAATTTTAAGGAATACAAGCGCAGACCGCCCTGGGCGTTAATCCTATACAAACTAGCCCTCGCCTTCTGGTCTAAATAAAGATCAAGGGGCGTTAGGCACACAAGTGTATTAAGAGCTGCTCCAGTCGATGATCGTATAGCTCCAGTTGCCATTAAGCAGGCAGTCTTTTGTAGATTATTAAGTCTGTCCGCAGTCGTCTTTTGGTTGGTCTTATTACGCCAGACAATGGAGGCGTAAATGATAATCACTTCGCTTTGCTGCTGTACAGCCACATGATCATACTGGGACGCAAGCCGCAGTTATTAGTAACCATACGACTGCACATACCTAAAACAATTTTAGCCGTATGACATACGTTGTTGCTAAGGTGAGAGTTTCACGTTAATTTTTGGTCGGTTGTTATGCCCAATTACTTAACTTTTTCGATAATTAAAAGAATCAAGCATTATTTTGCGGAAATCCATTATGCCATCAAAAACATAACTTATAAAAACTCGTAAAAAAACCAAGTCTCGCAACTCAGTTCTTCTACTGTATAAAGTTGTGAGATCCATGTAATACCAAGTCGGTTAATTTATTCAGTCCCTACTTAAGGGTCCTTCTGTTTTAAGTTATTACGTAATTAGCTAACCAAACAACATTTTATAGTGACCATATCAAAATCTTTTATGTTTCAAATAAATAGATTGACTTGGTAATTTCTTGGTTTCTTCACAATTATTGTTGATTTTGTTTGTTAATATTTTCCTATGAAATGTTTAACAGAAACTGTTTCTTCGTCCTATTTCTTCTTTACGACTTCTACTAAAACCTTAACTGGTAAAAAGTAGAACATAAATAATTCAATTAAGAAATTTTCACTAACATGTAGAAAATTGTGTAGTCCGAGGGACCACAGTTTAGATACTTGTTTCTTTTATCTTTAACACTTTACATCTTATTAGTAAAATAAGCTTTACAAATTCTTTACTAAATATCTGTCATCACATTAACTTCATTTACTTGATGATACCTACTTTCCGAGATCTGACTGGTAAACTAGGTGAACTGATGGACCACACTTTAAGGGCTGTAACTTTTTACATATTCTTTTAGAAATTTCAGGATTCTTACTGGCCTATACTACTAATTCATTTCGCGATATCCCTGCATTTCTTAGTATTCCTCAGTACTCACATACATAAAAAAATTGTCTGCCTATAATATCAAAACAACTGACTTAATAAGCTTAGAGTTTAATTGCATGATTTTAAGACTTTTACTTAATCTAAATAATTTATCTTAATTAGTTTGAAAAATTTTGCCTGTCTGTCTGTCAAGGATAATTTTCGAAATGGCTGAACCAATTGAAATAAATCTTCACACACAGATGGAGAGCAAGAGAGCAATGTTAGGAGAGAGATCTAGGCTATATTTTATGTAAAAAAACATGCACAGTTTTAGTGAAATCTAAAAATGATGATTATCTCAATTAAAAAAAAAGATTCTAACAATATCTTCTATGTTAATAATTTCGTCAATATTGTTTTACTACGAAACTATAGACTATTAGGATATAAGATCTTATGTGAAATTAATAAACATCCAATTCTTATTATATCCATTTACCCATATCACACATAGTTTTCGAGATATCTGAATAACTGAGCTATTTGTCCAAAGACCACTATCACTATATATCTGTAGGTTTTTTAAAGATCTATACAGACAAAGTCACGGGTAAACACTAGTAGAAAAAAAAACATTTCTTTAAATGAACATAAACATTAATTAATTAAAAAACATGTTTTACCATACTAGTAGAGTAGTAGTAAATGGACATGTTATACAGAGTGGAACTGCCCTAAAGTCTGCAATTGTCCATCATCTCTGTTTCATAAGAAAACTTAAAAATGAAACAACTGATTTTTTTCTACAAATATAAACCTATATTCTATATTAACTACAGTCTAAGCATTTATCTTTCCATAACTTCAAGAATTTCCTTTGAATTTTCCTATTATTACTAAGAGATTCATAAAGTTTAAGTAGAGAAGACTTCAAAGCTTGCCATTGCATAAAGCTTAATTGGTTTGTTAGCGACTTTGTGCTCTGCTCATATCGAAATGATTCTTCCTTATTTATGAACTCAAGTAAGGTTTGCTTGTTGGTAACTCTGTCTATTGAATGGTAATAAGAGTTGTTTCTTATTTTTATTTTACTTTCAGGTGATGCAAAGAAACTTTTAAAACTTTCTCTAGATATAGCTTCCCCTTTGTCAACATGTTTCTCTGTTAGAATTCCTGTTGTTGCAACAGTGATTTCATCAGCATTTGGCAAGTTGTTCGTAACTATTTGATCAGTCTCTTTATTAATTTCATTGATATAGTGCATTAAGCTATCAACTTTATCACTTTCATCATCTTCAGAAAAGGTTGGATCAATTTTGATAAAATCTTTATGTGACCATTGGAAACGTCCAAAGTGCTCATGATTTTTTAAATCAAGCCAGTCATGTAAGTTTATTGGCAGTTCATAGACATCTGGTAAAAAAGGTAAACCTTTTAACTGTAATTTTTTAAGAAATGGATACATTTGCAAATACCAACTACAGGTATGTTGAAGTAAAACATTACTCAAAGACCACACTCTACTTAAAAGAGCAAATGGCATTACTGACATCCAATGACTTTCCCCTCTTCTAACTCTATCAAAATAGAAAACAGCTGCCTGCTTACAACAAACTGATATTCTTAGCATTAGTTTTGATAATGTCATTAGTCTTACTAAGACATACTCTAACATTTGCCTCGTTGGTAAGTAAAGTTGATTTTCTTCATCATTTGGCAAAACCATATCAAAATCTCTTAAGTCTTTAATAAAATTTACCAGTAAATATCTACGAAGCGAAGTATTAACTTTTTTGAAAATTCGGTATCCAATATCATTTCGAAACTTTTTATCGTACTTATATAAAAATCTTGACAATATTGCACTTTCTTTGTGTAAAGGCGATTGTTTAGATAAAACATTCCTTGCATGGCTACACACACGTCTCAAACATCGGATATCTGAAAGAAATTGATTCGCATTTTTAATTTTTAAGATTAACAATACAACTAGTCCTAAAAAAAGGAATGTAATTACCAATATTTTCCAAACATAAATAAGTATGTACTGGGGGAGGTAAAAGAGTTCTATTGTTCCACGGTTCCAGCATTATAGATGATTTGATTTATAATTTCTAAAAATTACATTTAAATTATTTTAGTAAGGTTAGGCAGTTAGGCTGCAACTGCAAACTTTCAGGTATGGACCATAGTATGTATCACGGCGTTGACAGCTAGAACATTTTTTTAAAACTTAAGAGTTTGGAGAAGGGCACTCTTAAGGGTATGTTCCGAAATACAACGCAGTGTACTGTCCAATGCAAATGACTTATCATTTGACACTTTATTGTACTAGCGTGCCGCCGCCATATTGTGTCGGATATCCGGCCATAATAAAACAATTTTTAATTGTGTGTTTGCCGAATGAAGCATGCCAGAATTTGTTTCTATTTATTCAAATACAAAAAATTATAGAATAATTGATGGTATATCCATTAGGAGGATATAATGATTTTTTGTACAAGTTGCACAAAATGACAAAATAATCGCCAACACTTTTCCAAATGGCGCAAAAGTATGACGTCATATACTGTCCAACGTTTTGGAACGAATCACCAGTAAAGCGTCGATTCATGACGTCATTTGCATTGGACAGTACACTGCGTTGTATTTCGGAACACACCCTAAATCAAGACTTGGTGGCGCCACAGACTTCCTATTTTGACAAATGTCATAGTTAAATGTTGACACTTGAAACTTGAAAGTAGCAATCTTTTTTTTACAAATCGCTGTCGATTCGTAAGACTCGTACACGTTTCTGTATTTTTTTTGGTTACTGCTCTACAAATTCACTAGCAACGTTGAGTTGAGCTTCAGTTCCTCCGTTATCTCGTCGAATCTTTGTGGTGCTGTTGATTCAGTGACTTATAAGAGACAGGACTCATTTTAGAGATAGAACTCATATTTTTTGGTGTTATTATCTACTAGTGCCGTAGGGTTAAATAATGCCTATTACCGTGTATTGTGTAAACTCTTGTCTTGCCAAGGATATAGTAATGTTTTACTTTCCTCGAGACAAAAACATGCAAAGCCTTTGGCTTTCTTATGTCGCTCCTCATAGCCCTGAACTTGGGTTTTCTTTAGTAATCTGCTGCATGAATATATGGTCGCCGAGTGGGTGGGGGAGGGGGGGGGGAGGGGGCGGAACCTCCCCCCTGAAAGGAAAAAGTGCCGGAAACCCCCCCCTTTTTTTTTATGAATTTTTAAAGTTTTGTTACATTTAAGGAAAATTCGCTTTCGTTTAATAAAAAAAGGGCGTCCGGCGACGAAAAACTCACATTCGGGTCCCGGTGGGAATGTGGGAGTATTTAGGGTGGGAAAAACGGTGGGAATTAACACTATTTTGACTCTGCTTCTGCTCCAGCGCTGCGGGAAGTGCAGCCCTTTCGCCCTTGCGTAACTAAGCACAGGCACCTAGCTCACCTGCGCAGCTTCGGCTGTTTGGTCGCCTTCGGCGACCAGCCTCAGCCGCTACGGCTCGTACGCTGCCTACGCTTAGTTACAGCGGGCGAGGGCTGCATTCCCTCCGCGCTTCCGGATTTTCATATACACTCTAGGGGTAAGAGCGGAAAGACCACGTGGAAGTTGGGGTTGACAGATTCGGTTTTGTGATTTATACCTTCTGGTACTAGAGTTTGATCAAAAGAAATGACCAAATATAATATTATAAAAACATTTATTTATATACATGGTTAATTACTTTAATTAGTTCCATAAAAGGATCCTTTTTTTTTTTCTTTGCACTGACCTTTTCCACAAATATTCTATAATAATGTCTGAAAAGTTTTCCAGGTGATTATAATTGTATTTAATGAAAAATCTTTTAACCACCCGCCATTGCGATTCGATTCTTTGAGTATGAGTGCCATCAGGGGCAACAAATGGGTTCTCAGGATCTGAATGGTTCACCTTCTTGTGAATGTACCCATGTTGGGGTCAGCAGCCTCGAGGGTAGCCAGTCGACCAAGCTGGTTAATAAATGTTGGTTCTCCGCACGTCATCACTTGAGTGCGCTTCTTCTTAATGTACCCATGTTGCCCCAAACAATCATAAGCCCTCCAGAAGTCGGTATGGATTGTGGTGCCCTCAACCACATGTTTTTTAATTAGGGGCACTAGTATGTCCGCTAACCTGATGTTTTCAGGGCACACCTCTAGTCGTAAATCCTCACTTCCATCCTCAATGAGGCCGAGGATCCAGTGGCCCTCAATCTGCCTTCCTAAAATCAACAATAAACAATTTAGAGTTAGTAAATATTCAAGATATTTATTTATTTATTTACTCTATATTGTACAGTGTACACCAAAACCCAATAGTACAAAATTACAAAAAAAAAAACAAATACAAAAGTACAAAATTTTATAGCAGAATATGTACAACAGGCTGTCTTATCACTCTGAAACTGATTTCTTCCAGATATTTTGGCTTTAAAAGGTATTCAAATATATTTAATAAAAGGTATTAAAAGATAATTTGGGTTCAAAAGTAAACTTTAAAATAAATAATGTGTAATAATTTAAGACTAACATAGGTTAAGCTAATTTACTAACATATTATGGACTATATGTGGGTCTGAAATAAATTTAATTATCATTATATTATTATTATAAATATATTGTTTCAGTCTGTAATATAAGAAAATCAAATTACCTTTATTATATTTCCGTTTTCCAAATTTTGACTCGTCTGTTTGGACTACTTTTCCTGGGCCACCAATCTTGCCGATGGCCTCTTGTTGCTCTATTTGGTAAATGACGACTGTCTCCCGGCAGTAATTTTTTTTTAAAACAGAGTACAGACCATGCTCTATTGCTATCTCTTTGTAATAATTATATTCTTATTTCGTATTGGTATCATTTTTAAATGGATATAACCTCAAAACTATAATTGTCGATATCTCGAAAACTAAAGATTTCCGGCATAAAAAACAGCTAGATGATAATTAATAGTGTCATTGCCTGTCAACTAAAGCTAAAATGATCAAATAATTATGTTGTTATTTCGTTTCGTATCATTTTTAAATGGACATAACCTCAAAACTAAAATTATCGATATCTCGAAAACTAAGGATTTCCTGCATAAAAAGCAGCTAGATGGTAATCAATAGCATCATTACCTATCAACTAAAGCTAAAATGATCACTTAAATCGTGCAGCAGATTACTAAAGCCGACCCCTGAACTTCTTCAACTGTCATCGAAACAATTAGCCAAAAAGAAGATTTGTATCAGGCATTTCGAACATCAATATCTTGATGGCTTCACGAGGAAATACCACGGTTATCCTACTCTACTGACTGAAGAAGAATTAGCTTGTGGAGTACCCAGTAAGTACGAAAATATCTTTCCCATTTAGAGCCAAATTTAGAAATATATTTGATAAAGACTGAATTATACCCGAGGCAGTGGTTTAAATTATTTATCAATGCAATATTAACCATGAGAGTAGAGTTTGAAGAAAATATGATACTAAATATATTGCATGTTCTTATGCAAAATTTTTTTTTGGTTTTATAATCACTGTTTTAAAAGCTATCTTATATTACAAAATAGCTAAAGTGATATTTATTTCAGGTCAATCCATCACTGACTATTATGATCATACTTACTGTAAAAGAAGGCAAGGTATGGAAGAAGCAGCTCCTGAAATAATTAAAAAGCCAAAATATAGTAAAGAATACATGCTAGGTAAATATTTTTTTAATATTAGCTTGATATATATTATGTACACATCACACATATGTTTACCTTGAACAAATTGTCCGATTAAGTAAGTCCAACTTTAACCTAGACATCAATCAACGGATCCAACTCAGCTGGGCAGCGTGTGAAGATTATGACACATCTTATCATATATACCTCAAAACTTGAAAACAAGATTATACAACCAGTCCATAATGCCATTGATAACATATGGATCTGAGATGTGGTCCTTCATCGCTGGGCACATTAGCTCAAGGTCACTTAATGAGCTATAGAGAGTTCTAATGATGATATATTATTTTTATTATAAATTGCTATATTTAATAAGTATAATATTAATATTAGGAACACACATAGCACATTCAGGTGCAAGATGTTTTTTCCACCTGGATTAATACAGCGGCTGTTGTACAATAAGGTGGTGTGTATATCACTTGGTTTTATATATATTTTCATCCATTTTTGTACACTCCCCTTTGATTTTTTTTCTTAAAAAATTTAAAAAGTTTAAAGATTTTAACTATTTTTTGCATCAGTCCTCTATGCAAAGGTCGTCTGGGAGAGATCACTTTCAGAGTGACAAGAACGCTTGTTGTTCATATTATACTTTAGATTGAACTCTACTCATTTTCCTATATTTTGGTATACAATTAAAAATAAAAATAAAGTTATAAAGTAATTATTTTAATTGCAGTTAATTTAGATGATTCACAAAATAGTAAAAGAGAAAATACTGGAGAGACTTCTGTGTCAGATGACATCACCATGTTGTCAAAGCCATCAACTTCTCAGCAAAGTTATTACATCTCCATGTCGCCAAAACCATCAACTTCTCAGCAAAGTTATGATGTCCCCATTTCACCAAAGCCAAAGTTTTTAATTATTGACAAACAAGTGCACAGCTCATCTGATAGTAAGTGGATAGATAAGTTGTAATTCATAAAGATAATAAGTGTCCAGCAGGCCTTATTATATTAGTAGGTATTTACAAATTATTTTATTATTTTTATGCTTGATGCTGATATATTTTTTGTAGACAATCCTTGAAATTGTGAGTTTCTTATACTTTGGTCAATGTATAACATTATGGGCTACCATGTAAAAAGCGATTAATGGAATATTGGGTTTGTGATTGTGTATGCGTAAGGCTAACTTTATGTCCTTTTTTAATTTCCTATGTCACATCCACAACTAAGACAAATCTGATGATACCCAAATGTTAAAATCCATCAAGATGTTTGTGATAAAGTATTATCTCTTCAATGCCCATCATATTGTTTATCATATAACTTTTGATAGTTTAGTTTTTAATTCTTCTCTGTGAGATTTGCAGTCTATGAATGTGTGTTTGTGGCAATTTAAATAACTCAACTGTCTCTAAAGATGAACTTTGGGGTTTAATGTTCATTTGGAGTTGGAAAGATTTAAATAAAATGTGAATTGATTTTTCTTGTTTAGTTATTATTAATTTCGTAAAAAATTATTTTGTAATAAACATGAGACAACAGAAGAGAGAGAGAATGCCTGTTACATGTAAGTAAAAATACATCATGTAAAAGTAATTCTAATTTCATGTTTTTTGTTCCAGCTCAGCGACATGACGGAACACAAATCAGTGAAACAACAAAAAATACAGCTGCAGCAGTTGCTTTCTTTGACCAATTGTTCGACAGTTGCAATGGTTCGAGGTCTGGTAGGGCTCCAGGAAAAATACGAGGTCCAGTCAAACTGAATAGTGCCCACAAAGCATTTTGGATTGAAGCCATTAAGAAGTTTAAAAAAAATTAATTTCATTCCAAAAAATTCTTTAGAAAAAGCTACAATAAAAAATGTACCAACATTAAACAATTGGGTTACAACACTAGAAAGCCTAATAAGAGTAAGTGAAATAATGCAATCGGAGGCGGTCAGTTTCTTTTACACGAGAAACCTAAATCAAGACCCCCTTGAAAATTTCTTTGGCAAAATAAGAGCATATAATTATAGATATACCAACCCCGATACATTTTCGTTCCGAAACTCTTTTAAGTCATTATTAATGACGGACATGCTGGCCATCCACACAAAAAATTTTAATTGTGAAGATGATATGGGGGAGACCATATTAAACATAACAACTTTATTGAATGAGGAATTTGCTTCAGATGAACAACCAGTTCCCGATAGTAATGATAATAGAAACCTTAGTTGTTCATCTGAAGTAAATTTATCAGGAAATATGGTCTCCTCCATATTTGAAGAAAAAAATAAATGTAAATGCGAGGAGTTACACTTCAGGATATATTATAAGAAAACTGTGTCAAAATAAATGTAAAAATTGCAAAAAAACATTTTTAAATAATGAGGATCAGCAGCTTAGTGTCCATGATTTAATTAGACACAGAGAACGAAAGCACCTTGAAAGGGAAAAATCTTATGTACCCTAGTACAAGATTTATTGTAGCATTTTCAAAATTAGTTGATTTAAGTAATGTGGTATTAAATAATACTTGCAACAAAGGAAATATTATTAAAAATATATCCGAAAAATTTATTACTCAAAATAATTTGGAATGGATAGGCTGCCAAGAGCACCATGACAAAATCAAAAAAAAAATTTACTTCTTGGGGCTAAAATCCAAGTATTTCACTGGTGCCGAACAATAAACAGAATATTGAATGGATCGCATTGTGTAATTAATTTTAACGATGCACCATATATTCAAAAAATAGCACACATAAAATGGTTAAAACAAAGAAAATATGAAACTTGCAAATATGTTTTTTTTTAATTCCTTTCCCTTATTAATATAACTAATAAAGAATAATGAAAATAAAAAAATCGATAAACTCAATTCACATCCCTATCGCTGCAAAATCTATCGATATCATGGATAATCTATACACCCCAACACTAACAAGGTAGCCATCTAGCGGGAAAAAGCTTGCCCTCCAAATTCGCTACGGCGACGTACTGTCCTATCTGTCTTGTACATACAACTTTATAATTTGTGGTATGTATGTACTTTTGGGTAGGCTACAGATTACCTCCTTAGGGGTAATCTGTAGGGTAGGCATGTCGATTTAAAATCGATTAATTGAAAAATCGATTATCTGGAGTAAAATAATCGATCTTTTAGATCGATTCAGAGCACCGCATCGATTCAAAGAATCGATCCAAAAACCTCTCGTATCAGACTGATTCATCTGATTCAAGAACTAGCGATAAAGTTCTTAAACTGGCTGGGGTAAGAAGTAAGAAACCGCAGTTTTTTAGTTTTAACTATTACGTTGCGGACGCAAAAAGAACCGGTCGTACTTGGTTGATAATTTGAACTCAATATATATATATATATATATATATATATATATATATATATATATATATATATATATATATATATGAATAAAAGAAATATTTATGAACGTATCCAAATATATCGAAAAATAGTTTTTACATTTCTAAAACTCTAATTCTAATCTTGCCTGTGCAACGAAATGTGATACATGGAATCACTTTGTAAAAAAGGGGATCGAATGGCGTATGCAAGTAGTGTCATATCGAAGTAAAAACATGCGGAAATACAACAAATTTACGCAACCATTTATTACGAAGACATCCATGTATTAAGTCTGTCTAAACCGTAGACAGAGAAACCTATAGACAAATTGACGCCTTCTTTCGCATTCGCACACGAAAAAGATAGATTTATGCATACGTCTTGCATAGAAATGAGACAGAGCGGTGTGATTGTTTGTCCCTTTCTCCGTGCCTGTTTTTTGTTTAGCGAACTACACTTTTCTAAACAACTTTGACAGTTCGTAGCAATCTAAGGATTTTACAAGTTGGTTTGGGTGAGAAAAAAATGTGTTCTGTGAGCTTAAGATTGGTGAATCTTGTACAGTTCAGTTCTTAGAACAATATTTTTTTTTCTAAATATGTTTAAAAGTCATAAAGATTATTGTATAATCTATAACGTTATCGCCCTTTCTCACTTGAGGCCACGCTAATCATTAGTCTATAGGTTTCTCTGTCTACGGTCTAAACTCTAAAAAATGTAAGCCACGCTAATCATTAGTGTATAGGTTTCTCTGTCTAAGGTCTAAACCGTAGACAGAGAAACCTATAGACAAATTGACGCCTTCTTTCGCATTCGCACACGAAAAAGATAGATTTATGCATACGTCTTGCATAGAAATGAGATAGAGCGGTGTGATTGTTTGTCCCTTTCTCCGTGCCGGTTTTTTTACAGCGTAGCGATTTAAGGAGTTTACAAGTTGGTTTAAGTGAGAAAAAAGTGTTTTGTGAGCTTAAGATTGGTGAATCTTGTTCAGTTCAGTTCTTAGAACAATTAAAAATTTTATCTAAATGTGTTTAAAAGTCATAAAGATTATTGTATAACCTAAAAATTCGTTATCGTCCTTTCTCACTCGAGGCCACATCGAACATTAGTCTATAGGTTTCTCTGTCTACGGTCTAAACTATAAAAAATTGAACTGTTTGTAGTTTTTACGATTCGCCAATTAAGGCAGGCAAAGGTCTGAAACCATACAGCCTAGTCTGATGTGAATTTTAACAACAACAAACAAAGATGGCTACATATACGTTGTTAACTAAGATGGAATGTACCACAGCCTGTAATTATACATAAAACAAAATTATAAAAGTAATTGTAAATTAATTAATTGTAAACATGTAATTATAAAAGTTCAATTTAAGAAAAATCGCAATTCTGGAAACAATGTTTAGAAAAGTCACGATTAATCGAAAATCGATCTTTTAATCCTCGATTTAATCGATAATCGATTGTATTATGTTCAATTCGAATCGATTCAGAGATCGATTTTTTTAAGAGTGAATCGACATGCCTACTTTTGGGTACTTTCAGGTCACAGATTTCTGGTATACAAAAAGTACTCTATGCTGCAAACATAGATAATGGCCGCAAAGGAAACACAAAGATCATCGATGTTAAAAATTAAAACATCGATGTTTTAACATTGATGTTGCCTTTTGAGTATTCATCAACCAACTGGAGCAAACTGGAGAGTGGAGAGGCCATGCCATGCGCGTTAATTCCTATAAACAAAAATTCTGTCAACATCAGGGGGGCGCAAGAAAACCACACAACTGCATACTTAACTACAAATGCATAATCATAGATTACTGACTATGTACTAGAGATAGATGAGCAACTCTTTTATTTACATTAAGTTCCGTGTCCATCCATCAGATGGTATAAAATTAAGAGTGCTTTGGGCCTGCCCTTTATTCGCACTTTACAATTTTATATTTTTACAACCATTAATTACATTGCACAAGTGCTGCAATGTAACTAATGGTTCTTTATGTTTCTTGTGCTAATTGCTAGTTCCTATTAATAAAATAAAAACCGGATATTTTTAAAATGTTTATTGTTTAAAAATTTTTGCTTAAATTATTAACATTAGATGTGTTAACTTTAACAATATTTGCACAATATCCATTGATTTCTTTAAACACATTCTTTTTAACTGGTTAGTTAAAAGTTAGTAAACATATTATGTTACAGAGAATACAATACAATAGAATTATTATTATTAAATAAAGATTATTACATAATACTTATTGAAAGTCATGTTTTATTTACTACAGATACCTCTGTCCTGGGAAGAACCAACAAGAAACACAGTGGGACGTTTTTTATAACATATTTCACTTTACAATAATTTTGTTTATACATTTTTTAAATAAATTTTAATAGTACAAGCATGGTGGCGATCACCTCAATCCCAAGGGTTATTATTGATGTATTTTTTGATATTATAATAACAGTAATTTTGTACATTTTCTGAAATTTTCTTTTAAAAGCGTATATGTTGCCCCCATAAAAGCACTACTGACTCAGTGGAGTCTAGTAACTGGCTGGTGTTTAAAGTATAAACACCTTTATTCTAATGAAAGCTATTTATGTTTTTATGTACATACATTACATACAATACTATATAAAAATATATATATATATATATATATATATATATATATATATATGTATAATGTATGTACAATAATACATACATTATTGCTATGCCAAAGTTAATATATTTATTTCTTTAAATTTTTCTATACGCGACTCTTTACAATTTAAGATATAAATTGAACGTACGGCTCTCTTTTATAAGACAAATATGGCTTCAATGTCAGTCGCATGACTAGCAGTAATACCAAGAAAAACTGTGGTATCCACAAGACTCAACTACTTCCCATTTAAGAGCACATTGATTATTGAATCCTCTCCAAAGGTTTGCTCCTTTTCCATAATTTCAAGAATTAGTATCAATTAATTGTTAATGGTGGTACATCTTTAACTTAAAATATATCTTTTTATGTTAAAAAGATATATTTTGTAGCAGCATTATTAATCTTTAAAATATGTACTTGATAACGTTTAACCCAACACAAGCATTACTACATGCTTCCTGGGCGACTCTGGCCACAAAATAATGTTTGTAGACCTAATTTAAATAAATAAACAATTTTTATTTTATTATTTATTTTATGTTATCATATTTTGGTAAATTTCACAATTGGTTTTATCTTTTAAATACGTTCTAGCTATCCTCTTAACTTATACTATCTTTAAAATTGCTGAAACCTTTCTAGTGAAGGGTGTTCCGGTCTAGGAAAGTAGTATAAAATATCAGAAATGATAAAATATAATCATTAATTTCGAGGCGAGAGAGGGAAACTGAAACAAAAGATGGGCAATACGAGGTAATCCGTGGAGGCCTATGCTTAGCAGTGGACTTTTGATGATTACAGCCCATGCCTTGAACTTTCAATTTCTTACATATTAGATGTTTACAAGTGAATAAAAACTGGAAATTATGCAAAAATTACAAAAGTACTCACCAAATTTGTCACATTTAAAAACACATTGCTTTCGTGACAAAATTCGTGTCAAATGAACAGCACAGTATATAAACGCACGAGAAATCGGAATAATATTAAATTGATGTCTATTTAAGCTTTACTATTAGTGAGTAGTGACCGCCATTATTGCGTATGCGTAGCACATGGATTGTTTCCTTTGCATAGACTTAATATATAAGTGTGCCCTCTAGTTCGATAAAAGTAAGTCTAGTTTACGTGTTCTAAAGATGGCAGTACAAAAAGATATCAATTAGTTCTCAAAATAATGTTCTAAGTTGCTTGCCCACAGTGGCGAAGCTAGAGCTCCAAGTTAGGGCAAGCCCAAGATATAAATTGATAAAAATATAGATTGTTGTTTTTAGCAGTTTTATAAAAATACACCAATCTTGATCAGTCTCCACGCTTCAGTTTCATAT